CGGGTAATTTAAAATAAACATGCTTTTTCCAAATGGACCCGATTAGACCCGAATTCTTTTAAACTATCCCGAATGCGTAGGTTACTTTCACTTTCGCGTTACGTGAGGAACGCACATAGAAAAGGAGCATACGTTTGTAACCTCGCACACACAAATCATCTTATAGATACGAGATCCATCAGAAAAATCCACTCGCTTCATTATACTGCGTGTTCATACATGCAGGGCTTTTCTTTTTTGTGTCTTTCGCCGGAGATCAGGTTGCATTCAACACTAGCGAATCCATGAATTATTAGGTTATCGATTTATTTTTTATCAAACTATCACATTTATTTTTCAAATCCACTGGTCACAATAGAAAGCCGAGCTCAGAAATAACTTGTATCCATCAGGCAGGCACTAATATAAAGAAGCCTAATAATAAATAGAATAAATGTTAAATAAATCAAAGTAATGCAGAAGTGGCCAAATCAGTCAGCAGAACACCGGGATTTTTCCTGATTGACTGCGGAGCTGCAGGCTGTACACACGTCAATGCCGTTTACGTTCGGGTCCAGTTGGGTTCGAAAATAAATGCCGTCGGGTCAGACTCGGGTCTAATTTCATCGGGTCTGTTTTGGGTCGAGTTTTTCTTTAAAAAAAATTAATTTATGCACATCGGGTTCGGGTAAGAAGTGATTCGGGTCGGGTACAGATTTTAGGACCCGAGAAGACCTCTACCTCAGACATATGAGGAACTGACACAGCGACAAGACTGGTGAAGGCCAAATGTTGAAGCCATTCACAGTGCTCCATTCTAAAAAAAAAAAAAATGAATGTAAATGTCCTGCACAGATTACAAAGACATTTCCCTATATACCTTAAATTAAATTATCATCATGTGTAAATACCTTTTCTACTTCAAATAAATTTTGTTCTTTTAAAATTTCTATTCAAAGAATACTATTAAAAAAATTATTTGAGCACCCAACAAGCATATTAAAATAATTTCTGAAGGATCATGTCAATTCAGCTTTGTAAATTCAGCTTTACCATCCCAGAAATACATTCTATTTACTAACTCACCACACACAATAATGTACAATAACTGTAATTTCCTGAAAGCCAATAATTTTCTGGAAAAAATGACACCTTGCACTTGAAGATACCACATTGTGTTATAATTTTATACTCAAAAAAACAAAATGAGTGAAAACGGCCTATTTTAGCTTTAGGTTCTAAAGGGTTAAAATATACTACAACAGAAAAGAGTTATTTTAAATTGCAATAATATTTAACAATATTACAAGTGTTCTATGTGAGTAATGTAGTAACAGCCAGTTACATCATTGCTCAGCTCTCAAGTGAGTTGAGAAGAGATCAAATTCTATTACTGAGACAAGGGGTACCATTTACTCCATCAAAACAGAGTACAGTGCAAGAATGTGTAATATGTAAATCTAAGGTTTGTGAGCTATAGTCCAATGGCAATGAAGTGGGAAAGTACTAAAAAACTCAGTGTGCACCTCACATATTTCAGGCCTCAGACCAGGATAATAAGCCCTATTCTAACATGCAGTACAAGCAGGCCTATTCAATTTATATGGCGCGGGGACCAATTACACCCTCAAACCTTCAGATTTCCCTTTTTCGTCCTCTGTCTCCCCTCCCTCCTCTGAAGAGCCAACAGAAGGGACACAACAAATAAGAAAAAATTATGAAAACATAGATGTACAGACAAAAAAGATCACTAGACACAGAATAATTTGGCAAAAAGATCACACACACAATATGAACAATAGTAATCATTTAGAGGAACTGGCTATATGAAAGGACAGATGCATGAAAGCATGAAAGAAGTTCAGATATGAAGCGGCCAGCCTCACCTCCCACTGACTCCTCCACCTCCTCCTGCTCTGTGTTGGTGTAGGTATGCAGGAACTCAGCGAAAGCGCCTTGTCTGCCCAGCAGCTCGGTGTAAGAGCCCATCTCTGTGATTTCTCCATCCACCATCACCAAGATCAGGTCAGCCTGGGGCAGGAAGCTCAGCCCATGCGTCACCAGAACCCGAGTCTGTAAGAGTTCCATGTGTGATGTGAAATGCCTATAAGAGATGTATACATATTTGGATAATACATGACTAAATTGCCTTACTCTGCCCTGTAGCAACCCCTGAGGTCCGATGATCTTCTCAAAGATGTGTTTTCCCACATGAGCGTCCACGGCAGAGAGCGGGTCATCCAGCAGATACACTGCACAGTTGCAGTACACAGCCCTGGCCACACTCACCCGCTGTTTCTGACCTCCAGACAGATTCACGCCCTAAAATTACAATCTCATATGATTAACCCAACTGACTGCTATTATAGATTTAAATAATGTCAAATTGTTGCATTAAAAGCAGCCTGTGACAGCATGCAACTTTAACCTTCAATCTATCGTGCTTGGTTAGGACAAATTGTAAGAATCATTCTGAAGTCTTTATTTACCTTCTCCCCAATCTCTGTCGAGTCTCCTCCAGGTAGGATCTCCAGGTCTGGTAGGAGAGCACACGCCTCCACCACCTTCTGGAGATTTACTACTAAATCACAGGAGCGGCTTTACTGACGAGATGCGCATGAAAATCGCAATCGATTTTTTGCACAGCCCTGTGGAGCTAATGCCACTCAAGGGAACAAACCAAATACTAAGACGTTATTACATTGTTATGCTGCTAATATAATGAAATGATGTAATATAAAAGCTATGGAATATTTTATGAAAGAATATTAATATATTTAATATATAGTCAATTATACAGTGGGTATAGAAAAGAATCACCCCCCTTTAAAATAATCACATTTTGTTGCTTTGCAGCCAGAAATAAAGATTTTGTTTTATTCAGCTGTATTTACTCAGTGCAACTTATAACATCCAAAGATGTGTTTTCCCACATGAGCGTCCACGGCAGAGAGCGGGTCATCCAGCAGATACACTGCACAGTTGCAGTACACAGCCCTGGCCACACTCACCCGCTGTTTCTGACCTCCAGACAGATTCACGCCCTAAAATTACAATCTCATATGATTAACCCAACTGACTGCTATTATAGATTTAAATAATGTCAAATTGTTGCATTAAAAGCAGCCTGTGACAGCATGCAACTTTAACCTTCAATCTATCGTGCTTGGTTAGGACAAATTGTAAGAATCATTCTGAAGTCTTTATTTACCTTCTCCCCAATCTCTGTCGAGTCTCCTCCAGGTAGGATCTCCAGGTCTGGTAGGAGAGCACACGCCTCCACCACCTTCTGGTACCAGCTGTCTTTTCCGTCCCGTCCAAACAAAATGTTGTCTTTGAGAGTGGCATTTTGGATCCAGGCCTGCTGAGGCACGTAAGCCACAGAGCCCTGAAAAACAGTCAGATACTCAATGTATTTCTTTATCCTCCCATTATTAATGTTTAAATGTCTTTAAGGCATTGTTATTAATAAATCAAAACAAAGAACAGTTATGACATGAAATGAACAGCTTTTCAAAATAAAATAAATAAATTTGGGACATTGATTATGTGACAGTCAGATGTTCTTGCTTTCACAGTCATACAAGATGCTTTTTGGCTAATTTTCAAATCATGTGGAGCTAGGGCTGTGCAAAAAATCGAATGCGATTTTCATGCACATCTCGTCAGTAAAGCCGCTCCTGTGATTAGTAGTAAATCTCCAGCACGTGCTTTCAGATGGAGCGGTATTTACTACACAGAGCCGTAGTTCACTGACAAGCTACACAAAATCGCAGGCGATTCATTGCCGATTTTGAACGCGATTTTGTGTAGCTTGTCAGTGAACTACGGCTCTGTGTAGTAAATGGCGCTCCATCTGAAAGCACCCTGATCCTAAAAATCAGTTGTAAACTCAATCTGGTGTAGCTAATCACCTTCTTAATGGCACACAAAGCCATTTGACTTTCAACTGTGATCAGCTGTGGTCATTTTGATCAGCTCAGCATGAAAAGAGCTTTCCTGGAGCATTTCAGTCCTTGGTAGTGCAGCTTAAGCAAACAATCTACTAACAATCTACAAACTATGGGTGGCAAGGCACTGTCAAGAGATCTCCGGGATAAAGCTGTGGACAGGCACAAGTCAGGAGATGGATACAAAAAAATGAAAAAAGGCTTTCAGATGAGACTAAAATTGAATTATTTGGCCTCAACACCAAACGATACGTCTGGCAGAAATCCAATTCAGCTCACCATCCAAATAACCCCACTCCTACAGTAAAGCATGGTAATATCCTGTTATGGGGCTGTTTCTCTGCAGCAGCGACTGGAGCACTTGTCAGGAGAGAAGGAAGAATGGATGGGGCAAAATACCTTCTAATTCTTGAGGAAAATCTGCTGCCCTCTGCCAGAAAGTTGTCAATGGGAAGAAGGTTTACCTTCCAACATGACAATGACCCAAAGCACACAGCAAAACTGAGCACACAGTGGTTGAAGGAGAAAAAGGTGAATGTCTTTGCATGGCCTAGTCAGAGCCCAGACTTAGAAAATCTGTGGAATGACTTGAAGACTGCAGTCCACAAATGGTCAACATCACATTGAACTGAACTTGAGCAGTTCTACGAAGTCTATTAAGTATATTGCAAAGTCTAGATGTGCAAAGTTAGAAGAGTCATACCCCAACAGACTAAAGGCTGGAATTAAAGCAAAAGGTGGTTCAGCAAAATACTGACACAAGGGGGTGATCCTTTTTCCAACTCTGTGATTTTTTTTTTTTCTGATATGATGGTATCTTTCACTTGAATGTTATAAGTTGCACTGAGTAAATACAGCCGGATAAATAAAAAAAATGTGTCCATCTTCATTTCAGGCTGCAAAGCAAAAAAAAGTGATTATTTTAAAGGGGGGTGATTCTTTTCTATACCCACTGTATTTAATACATAATAAAATATTAAATTATAAAAGAAAACCCTAGTGGACTAAAATATGTTTGAGCCCCAGTGCATACATAATTTATTTAACTCAAATACACCAGAGCACTTAATTCAAGAGCTACTGTTGTCACACAAAATCATTTCAGGCAAGCTTGCTCTAAAGAAATACGACATACAGCAAAAGCACATAGCTTGTGTCTGTACCTTAATCGAGACAGATCCTTTTTGCTTCTGCATCTCTCCCAGCAAAGCTGAAAGCAGAGAGGATTTCCCTGAACCCACATGCCCTACCACAGCAACAAACGCCCCCTCAGGAATACGCACATTAATCCTGAAGAGAGAGAGAGACACGCTGAGACAAGAAAAGATACAAAGAACAACAAACAGTTCAAGCAACATATGGACACAGGCGGCATTGTGTCATAAAGGTATAAAAGGGTACATTCATTCAGTAGGATTTCTTCATTCACTTCATTGTTGATTGAAGATTATGGGCAAATCTTTCAGAGTGTACTGATATTAACAATTGAATTTACAGTGAACAATAATGCAAGCCAAATTACACAGTTCAATACATGATTTGAAGCAAATGAGATTAAGCTAAGATTGAAAGCAATTCGGCAACCCAAATTTCATTATCCCTCTCATTAATATCAGAGGAGATTCAACAGATTACATTTCCTCTGGCGATTGATGCTCTCCTGTATCGGGGTTCATGCACGTGTACTTGCCTGTAATGTCCTCAGTAGCCTGTTTCACTGGTTCTGCTCTATGTAATCGCAATATTCATGTCAATGCTAAAAGTCATTTTGATGCCTTGAATATAATAAGTACATTTGTGTAGAGTACATAGGGTTGGGATTTGATAACGGTTATTAAGCATAAAAATCAAATGATTGTCATGACGTTCTATTAATGGTTCTTCAATGTTTTCCAATGTGGGCAGAAACATAGTAATATACTTACTTACTAATAAATATACTTTTGCATTGTCACTGTTGCATGCAACAACAAAATATTCTACGACCAGTATAGTCCTATTCACAATCAGTCTTATGTTAGACTTATTATTAAAATAATAATAATAATAAGTTTTATTTATATAGCGCCTTTCCAGGGCTCAAATAGGCGCTATATTTGTTGAGGGAGAGTGGTGCTTCTTCAAAAGTAATAAAATCATGGAATCGTTCATCAGAATCGTGAAATTCTGTACAATTCCCATCCCTAGTACTCAATAACACTGAACAAGATGCTATTCATTGGATCACATACTGTATCTTTTACACGCTAAGAAAATGGTGTTACCTCTTCAAAGTAGGTGAGTCGTCTTTACACCAGCTGAAAGCTCCGTCCACAATCCTGATGCTGTCTGGAGCTAAATAAGCAGGAAACAACAATGTAGTCTCTTAAGTGAACATCAAAGCACACGGTATGTCTTTAAACCCACAGATCTACTGAACAGCTGCTACTCTCTCATACAAAGCTGTTTTATGTCTGTCTGTGGAAACTGTTTGGGGACTGCAGTGCTTTGGGAGTCAAACATGCACAGCATACTAAAAAATACATGCCACAGAATATGGCACATTTGTTTTATTGCAGATTTGAACTGCTTGTGAATCACTGGACTCACATGAACTGATGGCTGGCCGCTCCACATTGTCTTCATCCAACTCCTCATGGGATAGAAACACACGCAGGCGCTTCATAGACACACTGGCCTGAAGGAAGCAATACATTTCACAGTCACAATAAAAATCAAAATCAGATGACAAGTTCCTGGATTTCCATGTTAACCTTTTGATCTGATCACAAGTGGTCCAAAAACGTTTAAGATTTGACAACTTATACCATATTCCAAGGTATTACAAGGTTCACATTCAACGGTTTTTTTTTTTAAAAGAAAGAGAGGAGAGAAAGAAAGAGAGTAGTACCTGCACCATGCTGCTGATGACCATGGGCAACATATTAAGAGGGAAGCGCAGGATGTTGAACAAGGCCAGAGAAACAAATGCCTTCTGTGCATCCAGAATATTATGTTCATCCACTAACACATATACTGCGAACGTGGAGAGGGCAACCTTTGTGAAATAGACAAGACAATCACAGGGTAGCATCAAAAACAGTGGGCATAATCATGAAAAAGCCCATGCAGGACTGGAATTCAAAGGCACCACCTACCAAAAATGGTGCGCAGACCCAAGTAAAGGTGGACACAGCACCAAGGTAAGCAGTCTTCTTAAGCACACGCAATTCACTCTCTCGGATGGCAGACACTTTGTCTTTGAACGCCAGTTCCCATGCGTAGAGTTTAAGCACTTTAATGCCATTCAGCACCTCATTCATAAGCTTGATCCTATTGTCCTTGCTTTTCATTTGGGCAACCTGTGGGTGAGGGTGTCAGATTAACAAAGATGATCTAATTAACGAAATTGAGACAAATAAACCTGCTGAGCAGGAAAAGAGGTTCAAAACCTGGTAAGTTTTAGTTTTCATGGCAATGACTGCATTTAGAGGAACCATTAGCACCATCACAGCAACTCCAGCAAGCACAGAAGGTCCCAGATTCTGATAACAAAAGAGCAATAAATAAATAAATAAATACATAATAACAGGTATTAGTGATGTGTAATGAAATGAGCATACAAGCCAAGACACCTTCGTGTAGGCACATACCTGCCACAGGAAGTAAAGGGCCAGGATAACCTGCAAAGGTGCTGACCAAATCATGTTGATATAGGTGATGAGGTCCATAAAACGCTGAGCATCTACAGACATCAGATTCACAATCTCTCCGACAGTGGATGTTCGCCGGGCAGCATTGGTAATGACTAAGGCCTTGACAAAATGAAGGAAAATATTATAAATCTACACTACCATTAAAAACACTGGAGTCAGTAATATATATATTTATAAAAAAAAATAATTACATTTAAAAAAAAAAAAGAAATTCATTATTTTATTCAGCAAGGAAGCATTAAATTGATCAAAAGTTACAGAAAAAGACATTTATAGTATACAGCTTTGCCATCACAGGGAAATTTTTTTTTTTTAAATATATTACACAATACAAAATTTTTAAATTGTTTTCTTGATCAAATAAATGCAGCCTTGGTGAGCATGTTGTTCTTTCAAAAACATAAAACATCAAAATATGTACTTTAAAAGAAATTTTTTGTTATTTTTTTTTTAAACAGTTTTGAGAGTTAAAGTATGGCCTATTCACATTGGCAAATGCATTTTTTCCAGTTTCTTGAATCTCTGAGAGCTCTAAATATGAAAAAGTAACAAATAACCTCCAAATGTGCATAAACACCATATTACACCCTGTTGCAGATATTTCAGCATTCAAGAATCCACTTACTTTCCTGTACACAGCACCAACAATGGCCGTACGTAACCTCATGCCGGTCACAAAGCAAACGTGGAAATATTTCTGCAGAATGAGGGTTTGCACGCAGGTACAAACGAACAGCAGGGTGGTGTAGAAGTAGCCATGCCAATCGGGGGCACTTGAATCATTCACAAACTGGATCAGTAGCCTAAGAAACAAAAGAACAAACTCACATGAGCATAAATTAATATGTCAATCCAGCAGCAGAATGCAGATCTTCTGGATTCAAGTGCAAGAAAAGTGGGCAAACTGGTTAAAGGCTCACTGCTGAGACTTCAGGTGTTATTTTCAAAGGATTAGAGAGGATTTGAAAATGGTCCAGTGCACAATTTGATGGCACAACTTTTCAGCATGCCAACACTAACTCTTCACTGAAGCTCTTTTAAGATGCACAGCTGTTGTTTTGACAGAGTGGCCTTCCTACAGAGTTAAAGTCATTTCTAACCACATGACTGTGAAAACACAGAGGGAGCACTTGCACTTTCCCTTAACACTTTGCACTTTACTACTGCTTCTGAATTCAGTTCAGATGGGAATTATATCGGATTCTGATGCTGTATATTCATACCTGAGAATCTCCGGCCCAACAAACATCAGGATGTCATGAACAATCTTATACAGAGAGCTGACTAGAAAATACGGTCCAAAGGTTCGGCAGAGAGCGCAGAAGAGAGAAGGGTCGCCTGTTTTTTTAAGGGTTTTCACAAGCAAAATCTCTGACTCTTCAATTGGTTGTCCATCCTTCTTTTCTTCCTCTGCTGATCTTTTTGGGGAGTAGAGCGTCTTATCTACTGGCCTAAAACAAAAAGCATAACCCAATCAGAGGATTAGTCATTTTTGTAGTAAATCCATAAGCTTGTCTATTTGAGGGGGGAAAAAATTGACTTCTCGCTTCTGACCTTTTGACCTTGTTGCATTCTTGGTCCCAGCGGCGCACCAGCTGAGGCACCACTCTTTGAGACTTATCCTCTGTGTTGAGCGACCACAGATCCTTCTCTTCCAGAGGCCTTTTGTAACCCGTCACCATCAATCTATGAGGAAAAGAAAGGGACATGCATTAACAAGTAACAACACTCAGCCTGAATACAAGCTTATTCATTAGCAAAATGATGGCTCCTTCAATACTTTTTCCTGATATAGATAGTAGAGAGAAGAAGATAGAAGATACATTTTTAGAGAAGATAGAAATTAATGGGACGAATGGGATCAAGAAATTACATGAGCCAGAATACAACTTCTAGATATGTCAAAATTATTTTTTTAAAAGGAAGAGTGTTAGAAATGCAGTCATTCATTCATTCTGCTCACCCCGTGATCCACCAGAAAGTGATTCTGGACAGGAATGAAGCTCCCGACTCTGGACATGGATTCTGCACAAACACATTCATAGTACTGGCCATCAATTCAACATCCATATAATAAAGCATACCTCTACCTTCTTTAAGTAAAGTTCACTAACCGAGTCTCTGACAGCCTGTGAAAAGAGCGGAGGCTGGTCGGACAAGCAGGCCAGGATCAGGGAGATGAGCAGCATGGTGTAATATATGTAGAAAGTGGTATATTTGAACACATTCACACTGGCAGGCTGAAAGGAAAGACCAAACAACACTTTAAGGGTTTGCTCACATTTCAAACAAACCTGATTTGTTTTTTTAATCTGTACTTTAGAACTAACTGTCCTTTTGCAATTGATGAAATATGATCTGTTTATCCGGTTTGTTCAATATCCCATATTTCAATAACTATATTGGTTGTTGCTATATTAATGATGTAACAGTCAACATAATACTGAGAAACTTTCTTCTACAGAAACTGAAGAGTAGCTATCAGTGTGGGAAGGGACAGGAAATTTGGCCTCTGCTGCGCCGCAGAACCCACATGGCACATAAGAGATCACGAGCGACAGAGTCATTTTACACATTCATGCATTTACTGCATCTAAAACAGCTGATTCATTCATTCACTCACACACAATTCTCTATTACACAGTTCACTATATGAGGAAAGAGTGAACAAAAATAAGTGTATTCAGGCAGAGCTCTTTTGCCCAATTTGGGTGACATTTTATAAACAACACATTCCGAATGACAAAAAGCGATTTAAAATGTGATCTACTATTTCAGACTGAGGTGAATTCAGAGCCGTTGAGAAACAGAGTTGCGACACGCTTTGATCTCGCCGCCACGCGGTCACGTGGTTCATGGAGCTCTCAGTAATTCCAAACAACTCCGTGCTGTCAATATGTTTGGATGGGTTTAAGTAGGATAGACAGCAGTTTCACTATATCTGCAGCAATTTCTAATGATTATTAACACATCATGTGCATTGATTGTGTATTGATAACTACGCTGACTACGTTTTACAATTGTATTTTATTCTGGGGAGTGATGAAGAGACCGCATTAAAGGGGTCATATGATGCGATTTAAATTTTTCCTTTCTCTTTGAAGTGTTACAAGCTCTTGGTGCATAAAGAAGATCTGTTAAGTTGCAAAGACTAAAGTCTCAAATCCAAAGAGATATTCTTTATAAAAGT